TAACACACCAAAATGCTAATAAACAAAAATCTAGTGTTCTGTTCCGTTGCCTTCCTAGACTGGAGATTTTTGACCAGGGAACTTAGTTGAAAACATTTCCTAGGCAAAAAACTTGCGATTAGAAAATAAGAAATTTGTTTACATTTAGAAAATGAAAATTTTATTGAATATACTTGATTAATTTTAAACATATTTATGTAGCTTTTAGAGGCACTAGAGGGTGCTTATTATTAATTTTTTATTAATACGGTGTAAATTGAAAAGTTGAGAATTTATGATTTGAGGAAACAAGTTTTCAATTCACTGATTGTAAATGAAATATTCAGGCTTAAAAATGGAATAACGTCCAAATCTACCCCTTAAATAGGTGGGTAGAGACAAATTAACCTCTTAAAAATATACAAGGACAAATTATCTCTCTAAATTATTTCTCTAAATTATCAATTGAGATAAATAATTCATTTTTTAACATACAACATCATAATTTTATTTGCTACATAAGCATTTTTTAACAAAAAGCTAATGTCACATTTTAAAAATAAGTGATTTATCTCGATTGATAATTTGAAGAAGCAATTTGTCTCAACATTTTTTTGAAGGGCGGATCTCTCCCTATCCACTTATTTGAAGGGTGGATTTGAGGGTTTTGTCCTTAAAAATTTTCACATTTATTCTTGGAAACAAATTCATGGATTATCTTGTGCTTTCCCTTTTCAAGGAACTTAAATTATGTCTATAATGTCTTTCCATAACTGAAGATTATAATTCCATTTCTGATAGCCACAACCAATGGACAGTTTTGAATCAAATCTTTAAAACTGTCATAAGGTTTCAGAACTTAATTTTAAATTCTCAAATATTGTTGTTCCTAACACTCCAAGGTTATATGAGAAATTTGAAAAGTTCTAAGATATGTACTTAAGTTATGAACCTTCAAAGTTGATTATGTAAGTTTTAGAATATTGACAGATAAATTTTTATTGCCTTGAATTTCACAATATGTGCAATGCCACATCAACAACATTGACTTTGAACTTGTGACTAAAAAGGGCCCACATGATCTATTTCTACATCAAATAAGTTATATTTTATTTTCTATTGATGACGACAATAGAGTCAATATCGCCAAAAGCGACGTTCATCTATTCCACTGGAAATATTGCCAACATAATCTACTTCAATATAATTTTCATCTACATAGCCAAACATGGCTACATTTATCTCCACGACATGGCTAGCTGTTTTTTGACAATCATGATCTCTATTGCAATGTTTGCTACCACAATTGGCTCCCAATAAAAAAGGCAAAATACCCAAATCCACCCCCCAACTATAGTGGTAGGGACGGATCCACCCCCGAACAAAAAAAGGGACAAATCCACCCACAAAGTTAACTTGGACAAATAACCCATTATTTGACAGGCCACATTAGTCGCCATTATCTTCTTGTTAATGGCGTGCTAACTCAGACATTTTAAACACGGTGGAGGTTTTTTTGCCTGCGTGGATGTTAAACTAGCCCATTCTCGTCCATTTTAATACTACGTGGCGATTTTTCTCCCCTTTCCATTACACATCAACTGGGCCCCACCTATAAAATTCCATAAAACCCTTAAACGGCTAAAACCTAACTTATTTCTATGTCTTCCCTCTTCCTTCCCTTTTCTCCTAAAATCTAAAATCATGGGTTAGGGCTTCTCTTTATCCTCTAAATTTGGGTTAGGGAAAGCTAATTCCATGGCATCTTCCTCTAATTCTCGATCATCAAGACTTGAAGCTTCTTCTGGGGTGAAGGGTTTTGGGTTGATTGAGCACACATACGAAGGGCGTCAGATGTTCTGCGAGTGTGGATTAAAGGCACCGAGGTGGACTTGATGGAGACCATGGAGCATTGGTAGACGCTTTTATGGGTGCCTAAACTTCTTGAATGTTGTACGCATAATTTCTTTGTTATGGGTATGTAATTTTGTTTTATCTTGTAATAAATATTTACACTTGGAAATATTTTTCATGTAGGATTGGAGGTGTGCATAATTTGTTTGGCATGACTTTGAACTGACAATTGAGAGAGCTATTGAGCTTTTAAAATTGTTGATTAACGAGAAAAAGTGTATGAGTAACGAAATTGCAGCTTTGAAAAGGCAATTAAAACAAAGAAATTTAGGTGGAATTGTACCTGTGTTAGATGAGTCACTTGTATTGGTTGAGTCAAGCCATGCCACGTCAAGTGCTAACATGCAAGAATCTGGCCAAAGAAATGGAGCTGAATTGGAGGAAATTATACAAAATGCCATGTCAAGAGCTGTTGATGATGTGAAGAGAAAGTTAGATGCCTTAGTTTCAGCCTTTGTCCATTCTGAAATTAGGTAATTAATCTGTACTTATGTACTGGCTTTGGGGTTTGGGTTTGTATTAGTTATGTTCATTTAGTTCTTATTTTGAGATTCTTGTTGTAAGATATAGGGGCTGTCATATTTTGTTTGTTTGTTGGGGGCATGGCATATTCTGCTTAGTTGTAAGAACATTTTGGTCATGTCCTTTGTGGCAGTAACCAAATGTAATTGACTTTTTTGCAATGGACAATAGCTAAATCACAATCATGATGTTACCCTGAAACATGCAACTACACAAGCAAATTCGATTGAATATAATGCCATTGAAATAAAGCAAGACAAGACGTAATAAAGCAAGGCATTATAACCACATGTACATCCCCAAAACAAGGCATAATAACCAACTGTCAAATGTGATTACAAACCACCAACATATACATACAAAAGTTCAAAGTACATCCCCAAAACAGAAAATATAAAATGACATTGAGTCATGCTTTCTCTTTTCCCTTTACAGATGATTGCTTTGTCTTCTTTCTTGAGTCATTTTTGCTTTCATTGATGATTACTCCTCTAACCTACATAATATACATACTAGTCATTAAACATTTGAAATTTAATATGTGAAATAAATATTCAAGCACAATAATTTTGAAAAAATACTTACACAATCAATCTTTCTTTTGGCCCTTATTTCCCTTTTAAGTGGTTCCTTGCCTTTAGCATTATTCACCCTTTTTTTTGGTAAGTTTTTCAGTTTGTTCTTGCACCTTCTTCCCTTTTCCTTTTCCTGTAGTCACCTTGGGTTTTTGGTTGGCCTTTTTCTTTTGATGGTTTTTATCAACCTAAAATTGCAACATTGAAATTAAAGCCAACAAGAAAGATAAATCTTTACATGAGGTAGTGTAAACTTACATTGCTTTGACTGGTCCCTACTAACTCCTCCTTTCTGGGACATCTAGTTGTATTGTGTCCCTGTTGACCGCACAAGCTACAACTCATCATAGACCCATGCTTGGACAACCTGCTGAATTTCCCCACCTTGACTTTCTTAGGCTTATGCTTATCTTTTCTTCTATTCTTCCTTGGTCGTCTTGGTGCTGTTCTCAACACTGGTGGTAAACAACCTCCTTCTGGTCTTATCTTCAAGACCTCATTGCCTTTAAGGCACTCCAATGTAGTCGCATAAGCTTGCAAGTACTTTTCCTTCTTATAGTGCTCATGAACAAAATATTCATAATTCCAATTTATGTACCTAACAACTGCCAAGACATAAGGGCAGGGGATTTTAGTTAAATTCCATTCTCTGCATGAACAATATTTTGCTATCAAAATCAATGACATGTATCACATCAGAAGTAGTATCACACACAGCAAATGAAGGGTCCCCATTCCACTTGATTGACATAGCACTACATTGACCTCACGGTATTTTCCTTTATCTTTTTCATGACTCTAGGTGCAATATAATTTGGCCATGTCTTTACAAACAATCTTTTTTCCCTGAATCTTTCCATCAACTAGTCAATTAAAGCTTTAATCATAGAAATGATTGCCTTACACCTAGCAGCCAAAATCCATGAATTGAATGTTTCACACATGTTGTTATCAACAACATCACACATGTTGTTATCAACAACATCACACTTATAGTCTTCATCGAAGAATGCCTTGCACCAAAACCTTCCTGGCAGATCCATCATCTCAGCATAAGCTTCCTCGGATACTCCTCTCAACTCCTCCATTTTCTCCAAAAATTCAATTTGGTATGATGCCTTTGCAACTATCTAAAAGGCCAATTTGATATCATCTCCTCTGTGCCTCTTTGCAAGGTTGCAGTATAGTTGTCTGCACAATATTTGTGATTTATAAATGGCAAAACCTCCGCCTTTGCATAGATAATTCCCTACAAGATTAATTTAATAAATCAAGTTATTTAACAACATAACAAGTAAAATATCAAGAATATACAAAATAATGAAAATACATACTGGATGCCTGTCGGATATCATTATATAACCATGCCCAGTTCCAAGCTCCAAATCAGATGCAAGCCTCTGCATGAACCATGTCCATGAATCATTGTTCTCATATTCGACTACAGCACATGCAATTGGGTACATTTGGTTATTTCCATCACAACTAATAGCAGACAGTAGTACACCCTTACAAATTCCCTTAAGAAGACAACCATAAACTCTAAAGATTCCTCTACAACCATTATTCCAACCATCTTTGATGACTTTCAAACAAATATACATTCTCATGAACACTTTCTCACCAGCATCATTTTCTTCAGTTTTAATGAAAACTGAGTTTCCAAGATTAACCTCTTTTAAATACCCACCAAATGCATGAATCATGGCATACTTATCCTTAAAACTCCCCTCCATCTCCTTCAATACCATTTTCTTGGCCCTAACACTTTTCTTATAATTTATACTAACCCTCAACTCGTTGTATGCAAATATCATCATATCTTTGCATTTCAAGAAAGGTGTAGCATAAATTCTTGATTTGAAGTACTCAGCAACCATCACAGCTGTCATCATCTTGTTTTCTAAATTTTTAACACATGTATGTTTAGAGTAGTATGTTTTTACTTAGAAACTATCATCCTGATTGACAAATGAACCGTAAATCTCCCAACAACACAGACCAGATTTGCAAATAAACATTTGTCTCTTTGGCTCGTTCCTTATATGGAGTAAAGGACAACCTTTCCTCACATAATACTTTCTCACTGCTTCCTTGAATTGTGCTGCATTTTGAAATCTCATACCAACTTCAAAGAATGGTACTTCCCAAGAAGGATTAAAGTACACATTAGAAGCTTTCCTTTGTCTCACTGTATCAGATGAAACAAAAAACAAATTTTCTTCTTCAAACTCAGTAGATGAATCCCTCAACTTCCCAGCATTATCACTATTTTCATAGTGACTGTCTCTGCCACTATTGTCACTTTCAGACATATCATTCTCAACAAGAATACCTTTAGAAGGATGTAGATGATCTCCTTTCTTCTGTTTAGTTGGTGTTGAATCCTTTCCCTTTTGACATTCCTTCCAATGAGGTAGTGTTTTGTACCTTTTTTCTGGGCTTAATTTAATTTTTAGTCTATTAACTATCACCTTGATTTCATTTTAGTCTAGAAACTATGTTTTATTTCTAAGTGGTCTATTAACTTTCACATTTATTTCAATTTCGTTTACTTGGTCAAAGATAACGAAAAACTTACTATT